GTTAGAGGAACAAATAAAACAATGGGCTGATCATTTGAAAGGACTCCTGAATCGGCTATCTTTTATATCAATCAAGTTCTGCAAATCTTGCCTAAAAACTCAAAGTAACTTTTTTAAGGAGTTATCAAGCACTGGCATGATTCCTTAGTTTTTCCGTCTGTTTGAATTTATGGACTCCTATTGGCTGGCAGTACTTTTAATGTATCACCAAATTACTACATTTTCAAAGTGATTCTTTCTGTATATATTCCGAATTTCAGTCTAGCATTTTGACTGTTGTTTGAGACAGTAAAAGCTTTCTTATAGATGCCCAGTCTTTTCTCTTGTCTTTGCGTGCCTGAGGTGTTATTGTAGTTCTCGGCATGCAATTTGGACAGATTGGCCAGCACATCAGGTTGGTATTCGCTAATAGTCTACCAGGCCGTAGTTCCGCTCACACCACCATCACCTGCAACTCGCCCAGAAATACCACCACCACCACCGATAGCACGCACAGAACTGCCTGCCAGTGGACACCAATCCCCCAGTGAAAGCAGAAATTCTGAATGCGACCAAGCTACTGAAGGCCGGAAAGGCAGCAGGACCAGACGGCATCCCCCACTCCGAAGCACTGAAAACGGATCTAGAGACTGTGGCAGATGTTCTCACACCATCACTGCAAAAGGTCTGGAAAGATGGAAAGAGGGTTTCTGGTTGGAAAAAAGGATACCTCGTCAAGCTATCAAAGAGGGGCGAATTAGGCCTCTGAAAGAACTGGCGTTCAATAATCCCCTTGTCCACGCCAAGCAAAATACTAAGTCGCGTCATCCTGGAGGGAATAAAAGATGCACTGGATACAGATCTCCGCCAACCGGAACAAGCTGGATTCAGGAAAGGCGAATCATGTACTGATCAAATTGCAAGTTTGTGCATCATCATCATTGAACAAAGCATAGAATGACAGTCACACCTCCACCTCAACTTCATCGACTTCGAAAAGGCCTTCGACAGCGTTGACCGAGAGGTAATTTGGAAACTACTTCAACACTACGGAGTACTTCAAGTGTTAATCAAACTCATTCAACTGCTGGCAATATGACAATGCCACGTTTCAGGTGATCCACAATCGAAAACTCACTCAGCGAAGGCTTTGAAGTGAATGCAGGAGTAAAAAAGCTGGCTGCTTATTATCACCAATGATATTCTTGATTGTGGTGGACTGGATTATGCAGAAGACTGTGCACAGGGAGCAAGGAGACAGGAATACGCTGGATCACCGATAAGAAGACTCTATGAGATCTGGATTTCGCGCGTGGATGATGTGTCTAATGTCACACAAACTCGAAGACTTGCAGGCGAAAACCAACGAACTGGGGGGGAAAGGTAGGCAGCGAAGACAGGACTCCAGGTGAACATAGAGAAGACGGAGGTGATGAAGATAACCAACGAACCGCAACAATAATAAAAACAACAACAACAACCAGCATCAATCACAGAAGTTACTTCCCCCACTTATCTCGCCAGGAAGCGCGGTTTCAACCACAGGCAGTCAGAGAGGATGGAGTTGTCGAAGCTAGCCAGAATCAGAAAGACAAGATGTAAGATCACCCGTTTATACGATATATATATATATATATATATATATATATATATATATATATAAGATACGCCTTCATCAACTTGAAACCAGTTTGGAAATCTGCACTCAGCCGGCACAAACAACAAGATTTGGATTTTTAACACCGATGTGAAATCAGTCAATTCTTCTATACTGGTCAGAAACTTGCACTGCCTGTCACGAAAAGCATTTGCAACTGGTTACAGACTTTTACCAACAGCTGCCTTCACTGCCTCCATACCGAAGATCGAAATGCCAGCCGATCAGGAAGAATAAGCAACAAGAAACTCTGGTAACAAACTAACCAATAGGCGGTTGCTCGATAGATATGTAAGAGAAAATGGAGATGGATCGGGCATACATTGAGGAGGTTGTCAAATGACATCGCACGCCAAGCCATTTCTCGCGTGGAACCCCAACGGGAGGTGACGAAATGGATGAGACCGTGCGAGGAGGAGATGGAAGATTATGGGTGATCGTGGGCCTAACTGAAGACGACAGCAGAGAATATAAGCTAGTGGAGATGTGTTGTTGAAGCCTTTTACTCCACTCGGAACCCAAGGGAATAATAAAAATTATTCCAATCTTGGGCTACTGGAGACGCAGCTAACTGGATACGAAATCAATGAGGAGAACAAAATCAAGAAAGTGAGCAGATGTGGGGCTCAAACCATTACCTAGTGCAAAGAATCTTCAAGATCAAGTTGGAAAGCGTGGAAGAAGCTGGGGATAGACCATAATTGAGGTTCAGCTCTCATCATCTGAAGGATGAAACTACAAAGACACTTCCATCTGAATCAACGGGGAAATGTCGGAGGCATGAGGTGACATCAGCCAGGAAACATGAGTGGGAGAACACTGAAACTCTATAAGGTTAGTGTGGAGGGGAACTTGCAAAGACATCCTAGATATAAAAAAGAGAACATGCAGTGTCTCTCTGTGGACATCTGGTATCTGATAGAGGGTAGAAGGATAGTGAAGTAATAGATAAAAAAGTGGAAAAATGGACGACGAAAGCACTAGATAAAGGAGTGAAGAAGAGTACAGGGGCAGAAAACTATTCGTTAACGACCCACTGACAACTGAAACAGAACATACTATAGCAACAGGGACCTAAGAAAACTCCTAATCAAACGCTGATATCCACCAGGTTTTATGTACATAGATATGCACGTGATTTAGCATCTCTATCCGAGAAAATTTGATGTATGAACCTTGAAGGTGAAGTAGCTGTCAACATCCCTTAAGAGAGGAACTTATGGTCCCTAGAAGTAAAATTCTCTGAAGCTTCGTTGAGAATAGTGTTTTTAATAATCTTGAGGACAAGACCAAGCAGCCGATCAATTCTGTGTTAAATATGGCGCTGAAGATGTTGTCCAGAAGGATGACGAAAGCTTCGCAACTAAACCAACCAGCTCAGAGAACACTTTTAATTGCAATTCTGTATGTGTTAATCAGTTAACCAGCTTATATGAAGCTATATATATCAGTTGTTCTATGTTGGTTTTGTCCAAAAGGGTGCAAGAACACAATCATGCATGGTTACGAAGAGGTGGAAGTGAAGCGACAGGAAGTGCAATAACTAAACATTTGGTTGAAACTGGTTGTATTATTTTTAAAAACTTTTCCTTTCATCTATAAGGTGAAAAATTATCCGCGAAAGTCATTACATGTCTGACTTATCTGCATCCACTGAAGCTTTGGTCATGAAACAGAAAAGCTGGAGCTTTGTGCAAAGAACAACACTTTGATATAAGAATAAAACTTCAGCGCTGCGGTAGAGTTTAATTCGATAGTAAAGTAAAATTACTTGATAAAGTTTCACAATGTTATACATTATTATTTGCTGGTGAAATTTCAAGCAAAATTTATTTTTCATAATCATTTCAAGGTGGTGGTGGTTTTCAGCAGTTCTGTAACTGATGACGGGTTTTACTGAAATCTAGGGTAAAATTTCCACAAAATTCTATTATTAATTTTGGCCTAATTTTACCGGTGATTGAAAAAATATGTGACTTATTCATATCAGACAGCAGTGTTTTTATTTTCAACACACAGAAGTTAAATTTATTTACATGCCGAACTAATGACGCAACCAGTCAAAGTGGATTCAGATGACAACAGATATAGTGTTTTTTTTAAAGCATTTTTTCATTTCCATTGTTGATACACATTTCTGGTTTACATAGACTGAAAAAATGTCTATTCATGAGCTTGATTAAACTACACTCCATTCAAGTACTAGAAAGCTCAGCAATTAGCAAAATATTACCTCTTAAAGCACTGTTCTTCATATGAAGTATTCATTATAACACTTTAACCTTACTGTAGCAGTACTGCCACGAACAGTGTAACATATTTCAGTCCTTTGCCCTAGACTTTCTATTTGAACTCACAGGAAAAGCCAACTGGGCACGAAACCCTTCTTTAAATATTTTGTTTCGGCGTGTTGGTCGTCCGAGGGTGATATGGAGGAGGTCATGCGAAGAGGAGATGAAAGCATGTGAACAGACGTAGAGCCAGGTGAAAATGTTGGCGGAGAACCGAACGCAATGGAGACGTGCAGCTGAAGCCCTATGTTCTTCCAAGGACTAAGGGAGATAATAATAATAATGAGTAATCCTTACTGTTAGTTATCGCAGATAACCAGCATGAGTATATCAACCAAACATTATCACCGTCATTTCAACTTCGACTAGCATTTCAACTGTGTGCGAGCGGTCATATCCTATAGCTAACCAGATTTGTTTGTTATTCTTCTCTTTTTAGATGTATTTAAAAATGGCTCGGGGTAGACTTTTTATTTCGCATTTCTGTATGGTTTGGTATATTTGTATCCTTGTTTGAAGGTTAATTGCGTTTGTACCTACTGCCGTTGTGTTTTAACTAAAGCTTATTTCAAACTCTATGTTATCAGCATTAATTGTGAGTATTAACAAAATCTATAGACAATCAAAGCCCTACATTTATTATCACAACACAAAATTCGGTCGAAATTCATAACAATAGATAATACAGCGATAGGCTACAGTACAAGAAATTGATGTTAAACTTTTAATTATGGAATCGGCTATCATGCAATAATTACTTCTTTTAATTACAAACTGTGGGCATCAAAGAAACATAATGCCAATAGCTTTCATTATTAAACTTCTAATTATTGAACAGTCTTATTAATAGATGTAACTTACCCGAAAAATGTGATGTATTGGCATGATTTGTATTTCAGGCACATGATTAGAATAAACCAGTACATTCATACGATACACATTTAATTAAAAGCCACAACAAATGTGATACTGTTAATCCAATGAGTAGGATTGACTAGCAAGAGGAAGTTTTACATTCTCATTTGAACTAAGGCAAAATTTCAATATAAATACCTACTGATGAAGTTTATTTTATGAAGACAATAAATAGCACAATATCAGTAAGATACGCCCAATTTATTTAAAAATATTAATTTTCATCTAGTTGTGATTAGTTTTCATGTGTTTATTTTAGTTTAATGGAAATTCATCAGATCAGCTGGTCATACAAGAAGGGCTTCTACAAAATGAATAAAGAATTCAAGAGTTTCTATGGTAAATTATTAGAGTAAAACAACAGCTTTTTGTCACCTAGGTGATAGAGTGATAATCCATAATATTGTGTATACTTTGACGCTGATTCGCTTGGTTAGTTTAAATTTACCTCACGATTATAAAGACAAAGAAAAACAGTAAATTTGTGTGAAGTCAGTTGATTTTCTGATCATTGTTTTCTGAATTCTTGGGCGGAAAATATAGAATATATATATATATCCATTAGAGTTTGTCTTTGTCTTGGATCACTTTTACGCTTCCCAAGGAGTACTAATAGGTAATATCAGTCGTAGTAGGAAAGTAGACACATCATTAAAAGAAAAATATTAACTGCTTGTCATTTTAAATTTACGTGATAGGTGAAAACGAAACTTTTAAGACAACCAACCCCACTTAGTAAAATTAAATCTACTTAACCCCATATTATTGATCTCAAAGGGGTTCAATAAGAATAAACTCGTGACACGCATTACCGTTTATAGTTCAGATATACTGACTTTACATTTTAGAAGTTAAATTTGAGAAATCAATTAAAATTTCTCCATTTTTTTGATAAAGTAGAAAATCTTTCAGTACAATCACCTGTCTTACTAATTTACGGAAATTTGCTAACAATTAGTAAAAAAAAATTTTTAATTGTCTATTCTAGTTGACATCAGTAACTGTATCTCCAACTCAAACTTTTAGTGTTATGTTAACAAAGTGTGAACTCAACACCTCAAAGATACACAGAACACTTGGTTTACATAATTTCCTTTCTATGGAAGTTGATTCATGAAAATGAATTATTAATCCATATGATCACTAATAAATAAATAAATTACATGCTTTGGATGCAAACAAGGGGTTCCTTTAACCGACCTCTATAAAGCAGATGAATTTTTCTTGTTTTATTTCAATAATTTAGCTTACGAGAATTTAACTGATATCAGGTTAGAATTCATTGACTAGACAACAACAGCAGGTTCATATCAAATTGAAAGTCTGTTACAATTCTATGGTATTCATGAGTAATATTCTTACACCTAAATCAGTGTCAAATAGTACAGAATAATAATTATAGTTATCTAGTGAGATTCCTATCTTATACAGTTTTGTGAATACAACAGAAATATAATCTACTCTAAGAAAGATGCCTCAGATATCAGTTTGTTTAAATTACTTCTAATTGTCATAGTCTCTTCAGAAATAACCTTGTGGATTGTTTTCACAAGGATTTGTGTAAATGTTGAAGCAGTATTGCAAATAAAAATCAGTCATTTCTTTTAAAATATATGGTTCATTATGGGCTTTAGGCCTAACAATACTAAGTTTTGCTTGAAAAGAGAATACAACATGAGTACTAAGAAATTATAAGAATGATTATACATTTGTTTTGTAATCGTGATTACCTGTTCTTATGTAAATGACTGACTTCAGAGACAAATAAGAAAATGGGTTTAAAAGAATATTCTGCGTTAGTCAAATTGTTTTATAAATTTACTGAAGATGAGAACTATTGACCTCCTCATTTTATTTGAGCCAATAGGTTTTTTTCTGCATTTGCTAATTTAGATCGGTAGAATGCTGACGAAAATGTATCGTTCACGCTTTTCAGTTATTGCTAATTACTTATTACGGGGAATCTAAATAATCAGAAAAATATGATGATTTAATCAAATCCTATTTTGATCACAACTAGATGAAAATTTATATTTTTAAATAAATTGGGCGTATCTTACTGATATTGTGCTTTTGATAGTAAGTCTGTCCTAACAATTGGTCTCTATTCAAGGGTTCAGTTTGTGAGTGTATTAGAAACTACCTTCGAAACAACACTTATTCATTTATTCATAAACTAGAAAGAGTTGCCTGCCAACATATAACTTCACGCAAACACAAATGTCAGTTTTAGCCAAAACATGTTTGACAATATATGACGGAAAACAGATTCGTATCCAGTTGTCCATATTCTAAGTTGTGCTGAAGGTTTAATTAAATTTTGTTGTCAAAATATAAGTTTAAAATCTAAAAATAATCATCAAAAATATTTTGGATTATGATAATTTCTTTCTAAACAGCGATCAATATGCGAAAGATTTCACTCAAATAATGCTTCGTATGTAACTAAAAAGGGCTTGCAATTAAAGACGTTTGAACTTATTGTAAAGTCCCTTGTTAGGCAGATGTTCAAGCAAAGCTGTTTTAAATCAGTTATGCTCATATCGATGATTTACTAGGAATGAACTGATAGAAAACTCTTCCGAACAGAACGTTAATTTACCGATATGGAGATCGAAATTAGATCAGCAATATGAAGTTTTGTGCCAAAAAGTTTCATTAAGAAACAACTGTTGGCATCGCCTACAGAATAAAAAAAACACTGAATAAACTTTAGAGGGTAATAATCACTATAAAGTTTATAAATGTGTAAATGTTATATCAAATGAACAAAATATTTTTCAGGATGCGATATTGGCAGCTGTCGATCCTTCCATTAACCTTAGGATTAAAATATTATCAGACATTGACGTTTTGAAAGTCCTAGTGTGGTGGTGTGATACAGACAATGTGTCCACAGTTCAGTACTGCATTAGCAGTAGAATACTATGTATATTTGAACATTCTATTTCATGTTGTTTAATGTAAACCAAAATCACACGCTCAGTGATCGGTTAAAGAATATAAACTGTATATATATAAATAACGATTTGATCAGTTGAAAATATACTTTGCTTCCGTGTTTTGCCTCCTGCTGTTACACTAGTGCGTTTAAATTTCTTTCTATCAAATCAATCTAGAGATAAGCGATAATTTTGTTTACATATTTGCAAATTAATGTCTGTGCACGCTTAAACAGTAATAATAATAATAATATATGTTTTCATAAACTGCACTGTTTTCTACTTTACATTTTAGGGTGATGGTTGCAATGACTGTTGTCTTCTGTGTTTTTGTAATGGTTGCGTGGCATGTCAGCTACATCAAGAAGCACAGGAAATTGGTATTATCCAAAGGAAAACATGTTCAGGGTCCTGTAATCAATGTTGCGTATGCTACAAATAAGCAGAATAACATTTTAAAAGACAGAGTTATCAGAATAGAAGTCGTTTTAATCTACTGATTTGGCACGTAGCAGATGATCTTAACGAGCCTATCACTGAAAAAATATCGGAATTCCCTATAGCCTCCTGCAGACGTTTGGACTGAGGTGATGTACTGTTTGTTAATAATGACAATGATATCTTTATTCTGGACAGTATTTATATAATGTTCACAATTTTCGGAGGAGTTTATTGCATGGTATTTTCCCTTCGCACAATATCTTCAAGTAAAATATTAATAGACAGTTTATCCTGTGAAACAATGGCCTCTGAGCTGAAGCACAAAGCATTCCATTATGATATATCTGCTTTGTCTCCTTCAAGAAATTCACGATATCTAGTTAAAAGCCAATTGTAGGATGTTCAAAAGTACATGAGACCCAAAAAATAACTGAAGAACAATTATCTAATATATTGCAACACACTGCGACTCACAATCAGGCCTTTCCTAAAGTTTAGTAGGAACTCGCAAATCAGAAGCTTTTAAACATTTTAAATACGCACAAAAGTAGATAATACCATTAGAGGTCATATCTTAATAGATTAAAACAAACCGAACGAGAGAAAATATATGCAATAAAGTGATGGGAGTTTCTGGCAGCCCAAGTTTTAAGCATGCCACCGCTAAGTTTGCTAACAACATATGTTCTGTGTTTAATTTTGAGTCAGAATGCGCAATAAATAATTCGAATCCCCGGATCTATTAAAACAACCACTGCTTTGTTATTCTATATGAAGTCTAACTACACATTTTACATTTTAGTTTTCATCTGATGACTATTATATTCAGCAGCTAAAAATACTAATCCAATAGGCGTTGTACTTTCTATACAGATGCCAAGATATTAAAAAAGAATCATGCTTCGATTTTATCACGATCACTGAAAACAGTTATTGGTTTTGTTGCCAATTATAGTTCCTGTGGAATAAAAAACAAGCTGTGCACACGCTTGTGAGTAACTTATGTTGAATTTACATGAAACAGTTGCATTTAAAACTTTCAGTAGGAGAATTTATGTATATCAGTATTAAGCACGCTTCACTCATAAACGATATTTTAGTAGCTAGTATTTGCATACATTACATCGATGATCACCATTTTTGACGGTCAGTTTGACGCAGGAAATATGACAATTCTGCTTTTGAAAAAATGATTATGTATACCTATTTTTAGATAGGCAGACAGGGGGGTATCATAGGCTGGGTAGTTCGTCAACATTCAAGCCTCGATATAAATCGTTAAAAAATCTAGTGCACGTATTATAAAAACAATTAGTGCCTTTCATAAATTTGAGAAAAAGTCATTTAGAAGACAAATTTCGCGAGATGATATCAAATCGTAGTTTCTTTACAACCGCTTTACAACTAACAGGGTTCACAATAATAAAATAAAATGCATGACAATTACTCAGTTATATAAAACAAAAGTACATACTAATGACCAATCATATTCAAAAAGGTCAAGTAGTCCATCGTAGGCGGAGGTTGAAATCTATTGTTTATTGTACATATAGTTTAGGATGTATGTAATTAATCCAAAGTGCTTCCATCAACTTTAATAACCAGTCTTGAATTAGAGTTATGTGAAATAATTGTGAAACAGTCATTAATATTGATTTTGTGACCTGACATTAATAAGTGCTTTGCAATGGATGATGATGGATTTCTATTCAGATTAATTGCATTAGGATTTTCTGTGTTTTAATAACCACTTTGGAACATGTTCCTTTCGACGACATTGGAACATTCTATTGGTTCTACCTATATAGGTGTCACTGCAACTGCAGGTGAACTTGTAGATACAGTTTGAAGTAGAGTCCACAGAATTTCGTCCTTTAATCGGAGGTACAGAGATCGAAAATGTTCGAAATGTAATGGAAAGAGATGCAGCGTGGAATGTGCGCTTGATGGCTGACCGAAGTCTTTGAGCTGTCAACCGCATAATTTGATCATCCTTGAATGGTACGTTAATGAAGATAGCTTTCTTTGGTACAGAATCTGTCTTTTCTTGATGTGGTGTATCCTTAATTTGGCAATTGAGAAAGTTTTATGGATAACCATTAACTGATAAAACTGAATGCATATATCGAAGCTCATCCATCAAGGTATCGCTCTTACATATATTCCGGGCCAGTGAAAAACCCTCTGCCGTTTAAAGTATTCGATATCCAGAAGTCTATGGCAATCTATTCGGTACCTGGCATGTGATAGATAAAGACACTTCAGTGCTTGCTTTGTCGCCTATTCGAACGATGTGATCTAATATCCAACTGTTGGTGGTTTTCACTACATTCTTAATTAGCCACAATGGTAGGTTTTCCTGAACGCGAAAAATTAGTTACTTAGAGCAACAGCCAAAATAAATGGCTACACGGGAGTAGTTGAATCAATAGGTGCAATTAGGAGTGGCTAGCCTACGTACTTTCTCTTTCAGATGGGCAATATCAAATGATCATGTATAAAGTACAAACTGCAGCTTACCGGCATAAAAAGTTCATTGAATCGGTTTTCTTAGCATGTAGATTATTACTTCACTTGGTACATCACCTTTAAATGGTAGTTGTATATATAAAGGCATCTTGTTAGAAGATATAGAACAATTCTTTTCTACTCTCTTAGCCATGTGTTTCGTGATAAACCTTCCAGACTAGCTGTTTTCAATTAACGTGTCGTATGCAACCTCAGGTGTGGCGGTGGTTCAGTGGTAGAACACTAGCTCATCGCGCAAGTGGTCTGGAGTTGGATCCCTGACCGGCAGACTCTTTTATCTCCCTTAGTTGGTAGTAAGCTAGGGAAAAATGGAAGGTTAGGCGTTAGGCTGGCAACCCTACCCTGTAAAAAACACCACTGTTACTGAAATTTCAGAAACTGTAGCTTGAAGCCCTATGTTCCACTGGGAACGGCAAGGAGAAAACAAAGAAAAATTCAACCTTATATTCATCTTCGATCTTACTTTCTAAACAAGTAGCTCTAACTATGTATCTGAGGGTATTTACCAAATTTTTTTATAGCGAAGACGGACAAAGCTGTGAAAATGTGTACAATGACTTGGTCAGATAGTTGTACGAGTTCCTTTTTATACTACATACTGTCTCTCTTGTCAGTAGGACATCTGGAAAGGTAATTTTACATTGAAGCTATTCTTTACACGTGAATCTGATAGCTGAATGTAATACAGGTTTGATAAAAAGTCCCACTTAGGAAGTAGTTCACAGAATGAACAGAATACCTGTTCATCTTAAAGTCAGACTCTAACACCATTCCTTATTTAGGAAACAAATTGTTGTCCTTCCACACGAACCCACGTGGCTTAGAAGAACAGACAGATAATTCATGGACTGATTCCGAATTGTGATTTGACCACGCCTAACCCTTTTTCAACCTTATCCTTAATCAGCCAACATTTCCCGAAATAGAAGAACGTGTCTTGGTAAATGTAACGCACTTGCTAGCCATCTACCCTGATACAGCTTTATAACCCTATTAGTTGTTGTAACCTCCCAAATTACAGAAGTGACCAGTACAACCAAGAATTTTAATTTACATTATAACTATTTGCTTAGGTTTAGAGTGGAACATAGGACTTCAACAGCATCTTGATTTCATCCTGTTCTCTGCAGTCCTCTTTAGCTGGCCCCATGAGCACCTACAGGCTCTCATCTCCTCTTTACACGATCTGCTTCATTTCACTCTCGGACACCCAACTCGTTGTTTCCCATTCGGTTTCTCATCGAGGACCTGGCGCACAACATCAACTGTCTCTTCGGCATGTGTCTGATCCACCTTCATTTTCTTCGGCATATTTGATGGATTATGGGTTCTTGGTTCGTTCATTGTATTGCCAGAGTTCCTTGTTACTAATCCTTTCTGGCCATCTGATCTTCAGGATGAAGTGAAGGCAGCTGTTGGTAAAAAAAGTCTGAAGCCTACTGGAAATGCTTTAAGTGACACACAAAGTCTCTAAACCACATATAAGAACTGACTTAACATTGATGCCGTAGACTTCCAGACTGATTTCAGATTAACGAAGGTCTGTCTAGCCTTCTCAATCCTGGTTTTGGCGTCTTCACCAGTAACGCCTATAGCTGAAATTATGCTGCCTAGATAAGTGAAAGTTGTGACACCCTTCAAATTTCTCCCGTTGATGGTGATTGGTGCTCCTTTTTATTGTTGGCTATCTACATCACCTCTGTCTCCTCTATGTTCGCTTAAAATCCTGTCTTCACTACTTGCCTCTTCTGCCAAATTATTGATTTTCATCTGAACATCCTCGAGTACTCGTATGACACTAGATATAAATCGTCCGTGAGGTCTTCCAGAGTCTTCTTGTCAGACCAACGTATTTCTGTCTTCTTGCCCACAACAGTTTACCGCATAGTCCATTACTGTTATTAAGGACTATTACTGACTTGCGCGGTCGTCCAACTTGACGAGAATGAGCCTCCAGGCACGACACCATAACCAGCTGATCATTTGAAAATATCCCCCACACTGAGATAGACCTAAAAGTCAGACTGGGAAAAACGACGACAACTGATGACAACAACGTTTGTTAGATGAAATACATGCTATATCATATATAAAAAAACCTCAGGAACCTTGAGCCATAAGTAAATAAACGAGTCTGAGTGGTTGTATGACATCCAAAATCTTCAGAAATTCAGGCCATAAACAAATTAGCGAAAACTGTCCAATCAGATTGTCATGTCAGTGCATTCATAAATTCAAGGTTAACAAAGAAGCTTGCCCTTCCTAACACCCCACCTTTTGAAGTATGTTTCCATTAGGGATTACACACGAAGATAATTCTCTGGTCTGCGCAACCTGGCATCTTTCTAGCATCTGTTACTCTTGTTCCGCGGGTTTTTTCGTACTTGTTTCTCCGTATAGCGTGTCCATTTGTAAACTTTCCTTAAAATGGTTGCTTGTATTATCAAAACATCGTGTCCTGATGTGATTTAT